GGACCACAGCATCATTCTCAACGTCATGGTGAGGCTGCTGGGGAGGATGGACTGGGCCTCCCTTGAGGAGAAGGAGGGCTAGTGACATAACATGCATCATGATTATGGTGACCATACACTCCTTTATTTCAGAAAGCTGTCTTTTAGATTGATTGACTTTTCAACAACTCACTTTGGTCCTTTATTCTGGGCATTTAACTTTTACTGCACAAATGAAACCCTTTATGGCATGGTCTTTCACATTCATGTGACAAATATGGAAATTGAATTGTCTTTTCAAAATCAAACATATACGATTTGATTTTAGATATTTTTATTATGTAAAGTTTGTCTTGGTTTGGCTCTTGCATTTTCCTTTGTAAAGCAAAGTTATAAATGTAAACAATTAAATTGTTTTATCGTTATCAACCTCTTTCAGATCTGCCCCTTTTTCAGGTTTGTCCTTTATTTTTTCCGAGAAAATATGGTCACCGTAATCATGGTGTGAGTTCCGCTAGTGAGTCCCACTGAACGTGGGGGGTGGGGGGGAGATTCCACTTTCGGTGTCCTGGGCTGGGTCCTAGCCAGTCAGGGCTACAGCATGGCACCTCTGAGGCGTGTGTGCCCCGCAAAGCCTTGGAGAAAAAGACCTGCCCGGCAGATCCAGATGGTCTTCTTCTGCCTTCTGCTCTCTCTTGGACCATAAACCCCATATTCCCTCTGAGTTTGCCATCTTGACTGTGGATGATAGGAGTTTCTTTCACTGCTCTTGCGATTAAGGGGGGCTAAAGGCATGCCAAGTCAGGGTCTAGATTGACCTTCCTGCTGCTCCCCCTCCTGGCATCTCACCGCCCTGCGGTTGGGGTTCACCTTCATGGCTCAGGGTTGCCTCGATCCGTCTCTTCCAGGATCCCAAAACACAGAAAGTGGCCGATTTAACTTTGAAAGTGACCGACTACGTTGACCCAGAACATCTGGCAGATTTCGACAAGTAAGTGGAGTTCTTTCCAAATATCTAAGGGGGGTGCTGAAAAGTGTAGGTTGCCATAAAATGGGGCCCTTTCGCAAACTGTCTGATTTGCGTTTCTAGGATCAGTCCAGTGTATGTGGGAAAGACCTTGAGAGACGCTGCCTAGGGAGTGGTCGGATAAGAGGCAGCATAGCCCACAGCTGCATAATGGGTGCAGAAAGCGGCTCAGAAGGGACCCTCCCTAACGTCTCGGGCTGTAAAGGGGGTGGGTGGGAATTGTACTTTCAGACTTGCAAGTTTCTGTTAATGTAGCTCTACAATAACGTAGAATTAGTTTATCTGGTCGTGTTTCCTGCCTGGTCTGCCAGGTGAGGCTGACAGTAAGCCATGATGAACTACTGGCTGTGTTCCCACAACACACTTAAGCAGGTCAGTTAAAGATCAAATGGCTTCAGTGGCAAATCATGCTAACCTTGATCAGGGTTAACCTTGGTTAGATTTTTGGTTAACCATTTTAGCTTGCTGTGCTTACTCAGCCTGGTTAGTTCATGATGCAGTACCTGTGTTCACATGATATATTTAAGCAGATCAGATCAGAATCTAGTGGCTGCACTCACACAACATGCTAAGCTTGATCAGGGTTAACTTGGTTAGATTTATGTGGGTTAGCTTGCTGTGTGAACCCAGCCCACACTATCGTTTGCGATTCATTGTGTAACCCCAAAAAGTGGGATAATGGCATGTTATCTGAATGCATCCATGTAAAATCCTTCTATGATGGTTTGTAAATCAAGGCCTGTAACTTACTGTGTTGTGTGATCTGAGGTAAAGTGGAGCCGGCTAGGTGTGGTCTGTTGGACAAGCCATGGCTTAGCCTAAGGGATGACGCCTGTCCCCAACTTCCTTCCTTTTTCGGGACCTTTTAAGCCACCTCTGAAAATAATGGCCAATGTTATGAGTTCCCATGAGGATGTACCTTCACATTTAACGGACATTCACAAATAGCAGACTTTCCCCCCGAGGTCCACTAAATGAGCTTTCAGTCGCCGAAAGAGCAAGGAGCAGCTTCAAAGAAGCCCACCCAAAAGAGAGCCGCCCTTCTCTTGGGATCCGAAGAAGATTTCAGACCAAGAGTTTCCCATCATGCATTTTCCGCTGAAAGAGTGATGGGAGTGGAATTTAGCTGGGGGAATAACTTTCCTTCTACCTGTTGCTTAGAATTTTCTGTATGGCTCTCGGTCATAGAAGAGCGCAGTTTAATCGTGTTGGTGGGGTTGTAATGGGAGAGGTAATCCAACAGGTCAAGGCAGGGTTACGTCCTGAGGTTATACAGTTCACACAACATATTAGGCTAACTAAAAGGAGGTTGGATAGTTTGTGGCTGAGTGCATGCTGGAAAACCAGCTCTTATTTTGCAGGACTCTATGAATTAAAGCCGTGATGTTAAGTTGTCATCTGGTTTATCACTTTGGGTATGGCGTGTTTCTTTAACACTGCAATTGTGTTTGGTTAACATGCGTTGAGGGTTAGCGTGTCAGGTCAGTCCGACCAGCAAGCCGCCTACAGGCCGGGTATATCGAGCTCCCATTGGCAAAGATCAGAATTCTGAATTCTCAGAATTCCATGTTTCCTGGTGCTCCAGGGGCCCCTTTGCTTCTTGCCCCCCCACAGGGTGTATCGGAATATGGAGGAGTTACAGACCCAGATCGTGCATCACATCATCTCCCCTTTTGAAACCTCCAAAAAGAGTGATGCCAAGGAGGAGCCCAGACGGGAGAGGAACCCCTCCCCCCCCAACCCTCCTGACCACGACCCTTTGTGGATTCCACCTCGACATCCTCACGGCAGCCAGCAACCCAACTGGTGAGTCCTTTGTGGTATGATGGGGTGACAGGGCTTATTTGTGGACTGTGCGAGGGGAGTAGGCCTTACTAGGGACTAGAATGATGGAAGGCACACTGTGCGTGCCAGGGAGGGTCTCAACTTCACCCACTCCAGGGTTAAAAGGAAGGTTTATATAGACCTGTTCTCTGATACTAGAGTGAAAATGAGTTCTGTTTCAGGCCAGGTCCACTGGACCCATTTGATATTGGCAGACAAGATCTGGACCCTTTGGGGTAAGTCAATCCCTTATTTCAAGGATTTTCCTTTTTTACAATTCATCAAGAGCAATGTTTCTCAACCTTGGCAACTTTAAGATGCATGCTGGCTGGAGAATTCTGGGAGTTGAAGTCCAAACATCTTAAAGTTGCTAAGGTCAAGAAACACTGATCTGTAGACTTCCCAACGCTGGTGTCCTCCAGATACGTGGGGTTCCAGCTCCTATTTTCCCCAACCAGCCTGGGAGGCCCCGATCAG